GTACAGGAGGAGATTGCCCTTCCGTCTCCAGCAGAGCATCTGGTGGGTTTGAACCATGCTCCTTTGGGATTGCAGCACAGCTGCTTGCCACTAGGCCCCTGAGCTCCCTATTTAAAAAAAAAAAAAAAAAGAAAGAAATCTATAACTAAAATTTACAACATGAAAATGTTTCTTAGGCTTCTGTATGTCAGCATTTCTGTTATGCTCACAAGCATATGGTATCCTTACAGACTGTCCCAGGCCCAAGATTATGAAATGGGTGTGACTTAAGCTCATTTATGATCTTGTGAAACCTGCTGTTCTATAGAGAGTGGATTTGCAGGGAGCTGGAGTCAGTGCCTGCAGACAGGGTGAGAGGCTGAGATTAGTCCAGGTGAAGAGGATGGTGATTTGGCCCATGCTGCCTTCTCCTCCTCCTAGAACATTTAATGAACAAATAGTGTTCAAATGATAGCTAGAAGTCATGTAAGGTATTTAAGGAGATGGGGCTTTGTCTAGGGGCCTAAGCACTTGCTAATTTATTGTGGTGCTGAGCTCGACTTCCAGAAGGATTCTAGGGCGCTAGTCTGCCCTGAACTAGTCTGCCTTCCAGAACTAGTCTGCCCAGAGAATCACAGTATCACAGTTAGGAGCCTGGAGAAGCACTTGGCTCAGGGATCACACTTCCTTGGCCACCTCCAGAGCTGTTGGCTCCAGGACTGACCACCAGCCCCTGGCAGCTCACCAGCAGTTTGGATGTTCTGTTTACCTCTCCTCCCTTAATGAGTTTCCTACTCCAGAAATTAGAGATAGGTCACACACTGAAAGTTACTGTAGGATGAACTGATTGCTTTGGGGGTGATTGGTAGGACCTAAGTCACGTGTGAAACTTCAGCTGAAGGGAGTCAGGATAGTGGTGGTTTTCTCATCCAGCCCGTGTGATGAACCTTCTCCTGGCGACCCTTTGGGTATTCTGATTCCTTTTGCTTGTGGACTTCAAGGTGTTGTCTATTCTGCATCTAGTTGAAAATAGATTATAGAATTGCTGCTTTTTCCTGATCACTGGGATTCCTGGCTACCATCCTTTGTCTGTTTAATTCCTCATTCTAGACTTGTTCTTGTGCTGAAGTGAACACATTTTTAAAACCCAAACCCATGGTGTCAATTCTGACCCTGTATACTTGGGGCATATTGTTAGGAAGGGCCATTCCTGGGAAAGAGACAGTGAAAGGTCAGGAGAAGGAAGACCCTCAGTAAGATAAGGATTGATACAGCTACTGCAGCCTTGGGCTCAACTATGTCAGAAATGATGATGACAGCACAGGATAGGACAGGATTCAGATCTGTTGTTCCTGGAGTCTCAATGAATCATGCTCAACTTGACGGCGCATAACAACAATCTTTAGAGCAGACGGCCTCTTCTATCACCTGTGGGACAGCTTGTGGATTCAAACCACTAACTTTGATATTGTAGCATAGCTTGTAAGTGTTGTGCCACCAGAGCTTCTTAATTGAGGTGAACACAGACATCTTTCAAGAGGGCAGCTGAATTAGGCCTAGGCTTCCCAAGGCCAGGTGGTTTTCTTATCCAGGGCTTGTGCTTGCAACAGTTTCAATTTCCTGCTTTCCTCGGAGTGCTTCTATTAAAATCTCATTTGCTTCCTGGTCATCTAGTAGAAATGTAATGTGTTCTCTTCCTTCAGTTATCCTCAGATACACTCATCAATGGGAAGTCTTTGACACATGAGTGTTTAAGCAGGAGAGGGTTAGTCACCACACAAAACCAGCAGTTGCTGCCTTCCTCCCTCAGCACCTGGAAGAGGTATGAACCTCTTTCTCCAAGAAGAGCCAGGCTGAGACACACACAGATGTCACCTGGTGGGGGGTGGTGATGAGATGCTTTTAGGTACCCGTGTCTCCCTTTTATCAGAATTAGGCAGTATTATATGTATAGGGTTAGTCTAGCTGGTTTGGCCTAGTCCATAGGGAGTTGGTATAGTATGGTCTGGTCTGTAGGGAGTTACACTGCTAAACCAAAGGTGGTGCCATTCTGCTGGTTCAAGCTTATCAGCTGTTCTGAGGGAGAAAGATGGACAGTTTCCTCCCGTGCGATTTACAGCCTCTGAAAACCTGTCGGAGGGTCTGATACAAGTCAGTTCCAACTCGACGGCAGTGATTATGAGTTTGAGCCTTCCTGCTTAGTTGGTGTTTGCAGATGTGCCCATGACTTTGGAAATGGATTCTTTTCTGTTCAGGGGACCCACACCAGCAGAAAGGAAAGAACATGATTCAGAATCAGTCTACCTCAGAATCCTAAACCCACAGGGAAAACCACCTGTACACACCCCGTTAGTTACCAGGTTTTAACTAACATTACAGAGCAGAGCCTGCCTTCCTGAGATCAGAAATAGCTGCACATGGAGAGCTATTTAAGGATCCCTACTAGTGTGCTGTATAATGTATTGGGCTACTAACCTAAAGGCCAGCATATCCTGTCAGCCACTCCCCAGGGCAGTCTTTTCCTCTCCAGATTTAACTCACTCACTGCTCTGGAGTTAGTTCTGACTCATAACCACCCTCCACCTGATTTCCAAGGCTGTAAATCATCAAGGGAGGAGACTGCTCATCTTTCTCCTGAGGAGCACCTGGTGGATTCGAGCCACTGATTAGCAATCCTTTTACTTAGCAGAAGCAGCACAACAACAGGCGTGGATTACACCATCAGACCTAGTTTACAGCCTTGTGACCTAGCAGCAGGTTGCAGAACTGTCTTGAGGGCAGTGTTTTTGTTCTGGTAACACTGTTTCTAAGGTGTTCACTTGTTAACCAAAAGATTTGCAGTTATTTGAAAGAAGGAGAAATTAAAATTTTCTGCTAGATACAATGTATGTACATGGTTGCTGGTTTTGCCTTCAGAAACCCACTTGACTCTAGGGGCTTTTACAGCTCTGTGTTGCAATAAAGAGTAGTAAATGCAATACCACTGTGCATGTTTCATTGTGCCTTTTAGCTTCACCCTGCTCTGGAGAGTGGATTTTTAACCTCCACACAGGATGGTGAAGCACATCATCTTCAGAATGGTAGATGTGAACTAGGCTAGGGCTAGCCTCAGGATCTCAGCATAGCAGGCATCACAGTCGTCAGGATGGTTTAACATGAATTTCTGTCTTATCTCCAGAGTTTCTGATTTAGCTGATCTCATGTGGAGTTCAAGAGTTTACATCTCTAGCTCAATGGTGTTTTGTACCATCAACTTGAGTTTTCAGAGGTGGTAAAGCACATGAGTTGATTGCCCAGCTTTCTTCCGCAGAGGAGTTGTTGGATTTGAACCACATGCCTTTGGGTTGACAGTGTAATTCCTTACCAGTAGGGCCACCACAGAGCTCTCTTTGTGTATCTAGTTCCCAGGTTTTGGGGACTACTAGAGGAAGCACCCAGTTAGAACACACCTGCTGCTCTGTGGAAGAAAGATGAGCACCCTTCTCCCAAATGATTTGCTGTCTCTGAAAACCCACTGGAGGGTCAGCTGTGTGTTGGCTTCTACCTGATGTCAAACAACAACAATAGATATGGTGAGGTGTCAGCCCCTAAGAAATTGCCATATCCAAACTCTGGATAATGTTCTGTGCATACAGTTGCCACCTCCTGCTCCAGCAAGTGAATAAACCTTAATAACATATCCCAAACCAAACCATCTGTTATGGAGTGAGCCATGTCACCCTCAGAATGTAAATCCATTGTTTTATTCTGTAACTGATGACATAAATGCTCAGTCTTCCTAATGCCCTTTGAAGCAAAGGGCCCAAAGTTTGGAAGCAAGTGACAAGTCCTTACCACGAGCTTCTAGTTCCAAGATGGGTAGGCAACAGGTGGTGAGAGAGATGTCCAAGAATGTAGAGCTTAAATCAGTCTGAGCCCATTGGCCACTTCCCTCTAAATCCTGTTTCTGCTTCCAGAGCTCCTTTTGTTCTGACATTCACCCTTTCCTCATCACTTCTCTTCAGAATCCTTCTCATCCCAACCCCTCTTTCACCACCAGCCAGGAGCTGAAAGCCTGGTAGCTTTACCTGTATGGTTCCACGGCAATCTGTGCCACTCAGGGTGGCGGAGAAGCCCAGTAGTGGCCAGGGTTGGGGTGCTGTTTGACCTTCCCCAGCAGAGTTTATGGGCTCCCCTGTGCTCATGCTCCCACATGGTCCCCTGCGTGTGTGCTGCTGTAGGTATGAACCTCATAAGGACACACACACTGGAGAGAAAAAATGAGAGTCTCCCTCTTGTTTATCCAAAACGAGGAAAGGAAAATTGGGAGAGGAGTCTTTTCCTGTTTGTTCCCCCAAATGATGAGGCATAATTTTAAAAATAGGCCTAAAAGGCGAGTCTTGGTTGATTTCTCCTCTGAGTAAAGGAGATAGGTTTCACATGGGTCAGAGAAAAGCTCAGGGATATTCACAATACAGCAGTAAAAATGTTTAGTTCATGTCCGATTTTAGTGTCAGTTTTAACTCTTGAGATCCTTTCTTTTGGAGACTGTACAAACCTCTGGGAGTTTTTTAGGGTGGAACACACATCCCTTTAATTTTCTCATGCTCAGAGCACCATGTGTGAAGAGTTAGCACGTCCTTCCGGCTGCTGGAAGCAGCATTGCTGGTTGGGCCAGGGGTGCTGGGGAGAAGGGTCTTTGAACAGCTTCAATGGATGCCCACCCCACCTCTTAACCCATGCCTCGGCTTATATGGCCTGTGCATCTGACACTTAGGGGCTGGAGTTCCTAGATCTCTTACACATCACTCCTGTTAGACTTTTAATACATGCAGGGCTGAAGTATCATGTTCCTTTGTGAGCAAATTACATTCCACTTTGTTGGGCTTGCAAAAACATTTCAGAAACTCTTAATGGTTTATGTAACCTGGAGCTAAGTGGTGCCACCATCATTGAAGAGGTTGTTGTACTGTCCTGTGATTGACTGCACATAGCATCTGTGATGTTTCTCTCTGATTTATTTTCTATTTGCCCCTCTCTAGTGGGATCTTGTGTGTGATAATGCCTGGAAGGTCCATATCACTAAGTTCTCCTTACTGGTTGGATTAATCTTTGGCTACCTAATAACTGGATGCCTTGCCGACTGGTGAGTACCGACGTGCATTGCACGCATCTTGGGAAGCTACAGCACTTATGCTGGCTAAGGGCAGTGGTCAGTGTTAGCAGGAAGGACTGGGCTTTGGCCCTGTTTTGGGTGTCAGAGTAGAAGGCTAAAGTTGTCATTTAGAAAGTTCAGAGCTGGAAGAATTTGGCCAAAGCACAAAACAGACCGTTTTGAAGTGAGAATTTAAATTCCCTGCCATTTCTAGCTGCTGGAATTTGGCCAAAGCTCTGTCTGCTAATGACATTTGATGTTTAGCCAGGAAGAACTGGAGGACTGGGGTGTGGGGCTGTGCAAGCTGGACCGTAGGGTCTTATACAGAAGATGTGTGAAAGGATGGTTCACACGCTTCAGGGCGGCATGAGGGAAAGAGGAACTGAAGGCTCATTCACCCTGTGAGTGCAAAGAATTGTCTAGACTTTAAGGGGGGGGGGGCATTGGCCATGAAGTAGGTCTGCAAGGTCCATGGATTAGCACTCTAAAAGAAGACACCATCTGGTTAATGGTCAGTAGAGGTGGAAAGGACATTCGGCAGAGGTGAGAGTAAAAATTGGCAATTTGGGTCAGAGAGGATACCCTAAAACTGGGAGCATAATATGGGGTACAGAATGAAGTGATGGGTTTGGAGCAGGGGAGATGGTGGCGATTGCTAATAATGACAGCACAGTATTAGCGACTAACACTGAATAACCTTTGTCTGGTAGGCACTGTGCTAAGATTCTCACACATTCAGATATTTCAGCCTCAAAACATGCTATTAGGTAAGGGCTATTATCACCCTCGTCTCACAGTTGGAAACTTGAAATCCCCAAGTTTGTTCATCTTTTAAGTTGAACAACCAGGATTTGAAACTCAGCCACATAGCCCCAGAGCCTTCAAAATCCAGTGTGCCACAAAACATTGAAGGCCCTGGGGATTCCCATCTAGGGTCACGGGAGCAGTAAACAACGGCTTGTCCAGGCAAGGACTGCTCCTGGGGAACGAGGTATAACTGTGCCTCTCCTACTAAGTTATTTTGTTGTTAGAGGAAAGTACTGTGAGTAAAGACAGCTTGGGCCCAATAGCGTCATAAGGTTGAAGAATGATACAGGACAAACCTCTTATTCTGGTGGCTGTGATACCTTCCAACCCCAGTTAGTGGGGAACACTGGCTAAGAGCACTAGAGACCCTGGGGTGAGGGCAAGCAAATCCTGAGATGGGAGAGAACAGGACATAGGGAATGCTAGCCAGGGAGCAGCACAGAAAGCAAGGCAGGGACTAGAGGAACTTTCAGACCACTTTCAGACCAAGATGTGGAGATTTCTCCTCAAAAGCTAATATACATTTGGAAGTTCCTTACTCACTAACATTGTAATATGGCTTTTTATGAGTTTGGAATTTGCTTCATCATCATTTGTATGACTTCTGACCATATCTTCAGTGGATATTAATTAAATAAAGAAAGAAAGAAACAATCTTCCAGTGACCCCAGGAGGCCAAGCCTACCCACAACCCTGGTTTCTGCGTGTGAACCTGTAGGGTTTTTTTTAGAATCAAATACTTGAGTGCTGAGGTCTTCGGTGTGCAGTTTACTCATCTGGATGGCATTCTAATCCCCGGTGATTTAACCATCAAGATGCTTATTTATTGTAAATTTTTATGCAGATAGAACCAAATGGGGGGGGGGGGAAAGACCAGGTTTTCTGGTCTGTTAAGAGACTGGTGAACTCCCTGAAAGTATGGCCTTACTCACTTTCAAACCTGAAACAAATGGTGAACAGTAACACCAGGAGAATAGAGACTGCTTAGAACAGTGATGCATGGTGAAAGGGGGAAATTTGCATGGGGATAAAACTCAGGAGAAAGGAAGAAATAGAAAAGAAGGATGAATGGAAACAGTAAATATATGGAGGAAATAGGAAGAGTGTTATGTTGTGGGAATTGCAGTCAATGTCTCTACAAAAAATGTGTGAATTATTGAGCAGAAAATCAGTCTGTGCTGTGAGCTGTCACTCAAAGCACAGCAAAAAGTTAAAAAAATGGCATTGTAATAGGTTAGGTAGATAATTCCTGAATTCAAAGAAATTTGTTTCTGATTTCCAAACAGAAATGATTCTACAGGGAAAGTAAACATAGATTTATGTTATTGAATCAGATACTCCATGGCAATTTGAAATTAACATTGTCCATAATTTCTCATGTCTTTTGTATACCTGTTATTCAGCCATCCTCAAGTATACACCAAGTGCAAATATAAGGGACAAAGAATTGGAGGCTTGACTTTCCAAGCAACCAGAAGTCTGATGTTGCACACCACCTTTTAAGTTCTTTTCCCAATGACTTCTTAGTGGTGGTTGAGAACTAGATGCTCTAGGGAGTAAAACCCAAACTGTTTTGTGTAATGATGGAAACATTTGTGTTGTGATGGAGAACTTGTGGGAGCCTGTTGGTTAGGGTTAGTGTTGGCTAACCTCTTGGTGACCTGGTGGGTCGCATGCATGCTGCCAACCCAGACACAGGTAGTTTCAATTCATCAGGTACTCTGAGGGAGAAAGATGGGATAACTCCCACTGTGCACTTTGTTGTTATTGTTATGTGCTGTCAAACAGGAACCTACTCATAGCTAACCCTCCAGTAGATTTTCAGAGGCTCTATACACAGAGAAGGAGGTTGCCCATCTTTCTCCCATGGAGCAGCTAATGTACTTGAAGCAAGTGCCGGTGCAATTACAGCTAGAGGGCCAGCTTTGAGTCTTTTCCAGCTCGACAGCAATGAGGATGAGGTTTGATTTTAGTTTGAAAGTTGAGGGTTTCTTTGCTCTGGCAATGTTTCTGAGAACATACATACACACAGAGGGAGTTCTAGATTTTGCCATTGTGGTCACCTGTCTTCGAATACCTGGAAGGTGTCTTCATTCATTTGTAAAGGGTGGACCATCACATCATAGACTAGCTTTCCTCAGATCATAATCAACATGTAATAAAATTGTCAGTGGTCTACCTGTTTTAAAAACAGTTTTCAGTACACCTTTTGTGTGGTGGTCTAAGTGCTGTATGTGTAAACATGGTTTAGATTTATGGGAATGAATGGCCTCAGTGGGTGAGCCTCTCCCTCTGTGGTCTGTCTAGGTGTCCTCCTGGTCTTTCTAACCATTTTGGCTCTACGATCTGGCCTCTATGTCTGCCCAGGAGCCCTCTAGGATTTGACTGAGATTCAGTGTGGGGGTGGGGAGGGGGCTTGGGCTGGAGTCATATCACTGTTTGTCCTGAAGGCTGGCTGTCTCCTGTTGGAAGGCCCTGTCCACATAGCACTTCTCACTGGGGACCCATTCATCCCTCTTTCCATGCTCCATGTAGTCTATAGCTCTAAGGTATTATGGGATTCCTTGTGGTTTTTATGACATCTCACTCTTTTGTAGAGTCCCTTTATTAAAATCTCTTCAGTTACTTAATTTGAGTGGGATGTCTGCTTCCTGTTGAGATCTGTTAGTATTCTTGGGCTGTGACAAATTGCCACAGACATGACTTGTGCAATACAGTTCTGTAGTTTAGAAATCTCTGGGGTACCAATAGGATGTCCGCAGTGCTTCCTAGAAGCTCTAGAAGAGAATTAATGTCTTTACCTTCTCTGTCTTCTAGAGGCCACCAGCATTTCAGGGCTCCTGGCGTCTTTCTTCTACTTCAAATACAGCAGCACTGACTGGGTTAAATCCCTGTCACATTGCCAGCTCTCTTCCTTGCAGCTGCTAGAGTTTCTCCCAATTTTAGAAACTCAAGTGATTAGAAAGGACTCACCTGCAGAGTCCTTGACTGGACTCTCATCCTTTGTCCCTTGGCTCTGTCAGGTACATGTTCACCAGCTTCTGGGATTAGGACTTGAGTGTCTTTGGAGGCCATTATTGTGTCTCCCACAAATAAAGTGATGAAGTAGGCTGTTGTCAAGATTTAGGAGTTTGACTGTCAGTCATCTTTGAGGAAGTGCTTCTCTGGGAAGCTGGTTCACACTGGAGCTCAAGTGTTGGTGCTCAGCTTACTGGGTGGTGCTGAGTCATTCGCACGTGCCTACCTGACAGCCTCCTCTCAGCAAGGATTCCTTCAGCTGCTCACCTGACCTTTCTCAAGATTGTGCAGTTTAAGTGAGGTGAACCCAGACCCAGACACCCCAACTTCAAAGGACACATTTGCCCCACAATCCTCAATTGGGAATTTTCACTTACTGATTTTAATCTTTTGGGAAGGAGAGATTTAGAAGAGCTTCTGCAAGTTGTTGTTATGTGCCGTCGAGTCACTAGCAACTCATAGCAACCCTATGTACAACAGATCTAAACTCTGCCCTGTCCTGTGCCAATCTCATTGCCTCCAACACACTCATCCCTATTGCCCCAGTCACCGAATCAATCCATCTCCCAGAGGGCCTTCCCATCCTGCACCTGCCCTCCACCCTCCCAAGCATGATGTCTCTCCAAGGACTGGTCTCTCCTTACAACATGACCAAAGTATGTCAGATGAACCCTCAGAATCCTTGCCTCCAAGGAGCAGCCTGGTTTAACCCTCTCCAGAATGAATCTGTTTTCTTAGCAGTCCATGGCACCCTCAGCACTCTTCTCCAACACCAAAGCTCAAAAGCATCAATTCTCCTTCTGTCCTCCCTGGTCGTTGTCCAGCTCTCTGACGCATAACAAGGGATTGCAAAGACCATGGCCTGTACCAGACGCACCTTAGTCTCTAGAGATACACTGTTGCTCTTGAGTACTTTAGAGAGGTCCCTAACAGCAGACTTTCCCATCACAATACATTTTTTTATTTCCTGGCTGCTGGTGCCAAGAGTGTCGACCGTGGAGCCAAGCAGACTAAAGCTGTGAACAATCTCAATCTCCTCACCATCCATTCTGATTCTGCTAATTGGTCCAGTGGTGAGAATCTTTGTCTTCTTGACATTGAGCCTCAGTCCATACAGAAGGCTGCAGTCCTTGACCCTCTGCAGAAAGCGCTTCAGGTCCTTCTCAGTTTTAGCAAGCAGGATTGTATCATCTGCATAATGCAGATTGCTGATAGATCTTCCACCAATCCTGATGCCACATTTCTCCTCATAGAGCCCAGCCTCCTGGATGACCTGTTCTGCGTACAGGTTGAAAAGGTATGGAGACAGGACACATCCCTGGCATACGCCCTTCCCAATTTTGAACCATGCAGTGTTTCTGCAAGTTACAAGTAAATAAAAATCTGAGATCTTTCAGAGGTATCAGAGTAGGGGAAAGGACCCCAGGAAGGAATCAGAATGACAAGAGCCAGTGCATGTGCTCTTGACTCTGTGCTGTGGCTGGCTTCAAAGGGCAGCCCAGCCATGTCCCTTTTACAAATAGAAGAACTAAGGCTTGTGGAGGGGAAAAAATGGATACATTAAACTAACTGAAAGCATACCCACTGCAATGAAGTTGATTCTGACTCAAGAAGACCTTCCATCAAGTGTAAATCTTGAGGAGAGAGCATTTCTCTCTTTCACAGAGTAGCTAATGGCTTTGAACCACTGACGTTTTAATTAGCAGTCCAACACGTAACAGATTGCATCCTTTTCCACTACTCTTAGATGAAGTTGGTTTTATTTTTCATTGTGGTAAAAGTCTATGGGAAGGGAGTTCTGCTGGCCTAGTGGCAAGAAGCTGCACTGCAATGCCAAAGGCACGCCATTTGAGGCTACCAGCCGCTCTGCAGGAGAAGGATCAGCAATCTTCTCCTGTTCAATTTCTGCCTCTGCAAACCTGCTGGAGGGTCAGCTATGAGTTGGTTCTGACCTGATGGTACACAACAAACAATAAAACACTTGCCAGTTCAACAGTTTTTATGTATTAGATTTTTGAGTTAATTTCTCTTCATTTAGGAAACCAATTGGAATTCTCTTCAATTTGTTGTTGTTGTTAAGTGCCATCGAGTTGCAGGTGACTCATAGCGACCCTATGAAGGAGAGTCCTCAACACTTGGGTGTCTTTTTTCCAGGTTCATAGGGTTTCTGGAGGCAAGCTATTATGGGAGTGGATGCCACTCCTCCTTCCAAGCTTGCTTCACCCCACTCTGTCCGCATTGGGTAACCAACCATTAACACATTTGACACATCAGTCTCACAGTGTTCAGCCTCACAGCAACTGCAAATTACCGCTCTACAGCACCTTGTACACCAGGACTATACAACCTAGAGGAATGTCTGAACAAAAACACAAAAGGCCTGAGGGCCACAGATTAATAGTCACCTGCCTTTGGCTTGGTAACATCGCTTTCTGTCCACTGGGACAGCTAATCTTTCTCTTCAGTTTAGGAAGTCATATCTTAATTTGATTTGCCACTTTGTTTGGACAAAATCTTCTCTGTAACCTTTTCTGAAATGGCCTCAGTGAGTCCAGCAGTGGCCAAATGAAGCAAGGGTTAAAATCTTCTTAGACAAGCTAATTGACTTCTGTTGGTATTGAACTCCCAGCCTCGGCCTCATTTTGCAAACTTGAAGTGACTAATTTGAGCCAGTGCAGCCTCATAGTGAGCCTGTTGGTCAGAGTAGAACTTCCTTATACGGTGTCCAGGGCTCAGAATCTCTATTGAAGGTGCCTGATCATCCTCCTCATGCCGTGACTATTGGGTAGAAACCACTAACCTTTTGGTTAGCAGATGTGCATTTAACCAGTGCTCCGCCAGGATTCTTAATGAGGGTTCCCAAACTAAACCAACTACTGCTGAGTAAGATATTCTGAGTGAAATTCTATTCTTTTGATTCCCCTTCTCCTCTCATTTTCTTAAAATTACAACCATCTCCACAAAGTGGGACTGTGACTTATTGGGGTTTTTGGGGTGTTTTTTTGTTTTTATAGTAAATCTCTCTCAAGAGAGATAATATAACATAAAATTTGCCCATTTGAGGCACACAGTTAAATGAATTTTAATCTACTTGCAGAATTACACATCATCACCCCAATATAACTTAAAAACATTTCCACCACCCTACAAAGAAGCCCTTTCTGGTCCCTCCTCTTTCCTACTCAAGCCCTGTTGTGGGGAGCTGTCAACTCAGCTGTGACTCAGAGCGGCCCTATGAACAGTGGATCTGAATCTTTTCCTTCCCTGTGCCATCCTCACCATCGCTGACAGACTTGAACCCATTCAAGTCACTGTGTCAGTCCATCTTGCTGAGGACCCTCCACCTTTCCAAGTATGATATCCTTCTCCAAGGTCTGACCCCTCCTTACAGCATACCCAAAGTATGTGAAATATAATTTTACCACTCATATCTCCAAGGAACACTGTGGTTTAGTTTCTCCAGGACAGACCTGTGTAATACACACACACACACACACACACACACACACACTCACACACACACACTCACACTGGCAGTCCATACAATATCCAACAGCACAGATTCAAAGCATCAATTCTTCTATTATCCTTAATCATTGTCCAACTATCAGATGCATAACAAGCAATTGAGAAGATCATGACTTGGATCGAGTGCACCTTAATCTTTTAGCTGACATCATTGTTCTTTAGCACTCTGGTGGGGTCACTGACAGCATATTTTCCCAGTGCAATATGTGTTTTGCTTTCTTGACTACTGATACCAAGCAAGATGAGTCATTGGCAACTCAATCTCTTCTACATCTATTATGATATTTTCTATTGAACTGGTGTTGAAGAAATTTTTCTTGGCATTGAGATATAATCCATATTGAAGATTATGGTCCTTGGTCTTCTTCAGCAAGTCCTCCTCACTTTCAGTGAACAAGGTTGTGTCATTGGCCAGTTGACTGGTGGGGGCTTTCTCAGTGGAGTGATGATCTAAGCCCTTGTTGTTGTTATGTGCCATCAAGTTGCATGTGGCTCATAGCAAACTTGTATACAACAGCTCTAAACCTTGCTCTATCTTGGGCCAACTTTATTGTTTGTGACATACCTACCTCCGATAGGCTGTGATAGACTAGGAACCTAATTAACAGCCCAAAGAGGAAGCAGAGCTGCTTCGTCTGCACCTGGGCTGACTTCTGCACCAATTCTAAAGGTCAGTCATTTGTCAAGACACTGTGCTGTGTGTGTCAAGGTTTAGGTTTGAGGAGTTATTGTTGATTTTGCTAATCTGGCTTTGAATGACTCATGTATATACCTTAAAGTAATGTGGAAAATATGGAGGAAAAGTAAAAAAAAAGTAAAATGATTCTTACTGTCATTGACTCTGTAAAAGTGTAAGAGTCAACAATGAATTGAATTCATGTCTCCATTCTTTTACCCAGCAGCTATTTGATCTCTGCTTCACAATCTATAATATGAAGGGGTTAGATTTCCTTCTATGTCTATTACTCTAAATCTATTAAAATGGTTGGAAATGAGACAAAGAATTTGAATCAACAACAACAATCATTCAGGGCAGACTGAGCCCTTGGTGGGTGTTGGCATCTGCTGTCACTCTTTCGTGACTATTCTTACTTGTTTCACTGTCCCCTTACAGGCTTGGCCGGCGACCTGTGCTGCTGTTTTCCATCATCTTCATCCTGATCTTTGGACTGACCGTGGCACTGTCAGTGAATGTGACAATGTTCAGCACTCTCAGGTTCTTTGAAGGATTCTGCTTGGCTGGAATAATTCTCACCTTGTATGCATTACGTAAGTAGCCACCTTCTTATCTGCTCTTAAAAAAAATAGCAAAAGTCTTTGTTTGTTTGCACATTCTGGGGAGAAGTGCTATGCATTCTTACTGTTTGAGATGGAAATCTTTTGGAGTACCAACTTGAATGGCTTCATCTGCTGTGAAGAGTTTCTCAGCTAAGGTCACTGAGCATGCATACAGTTGATTCTAATCTTGAGCTGAGGCTTGATGTGGATCAGAGGCCATGGTGGTTGCTGTTGTCAGGTGCTCTTGAGTCAGCTGTGACACATGACCCTGTGCACAACATACTGGAACCTTGTCCTGTCCTGCGTCGTCCTCTCTCAACAAAGTCGGCCTTTTGTTCCAGTCATTGTCAGTATATCTCATTAAAGGTCTTCACCTCTTTTGGTGACCTACTTTTCCCAGCATGATTCCCCCTTTTCCCAGCATGATTCCCCCTTCCCCCCCTAGAACTAGTCCCTCTTGACAACATGTCCAAAGTTTGTGAGGTGAAACGTCACCATCTTTGTCACTTAAGGACACTTCCTCTACGACAGACTTGTTTGTTCCTTTGACGGTCCACAAGATATTACATCCTCTTCTCCAACATGAAAATTATCAAAGACGTTAATTCTTCGTCAGTCTTCCTTATTCAATATGCAGCTTTTGCATACATATGAAGCAATTGAAAACTACCATGGCTTGTGCCAGGTTCATATTAGTCTTTAAGGTGACACACTTGTTCTTTATTGCTTTGGAGTGCTCCTCACCAGCATAGTTCCCCAACTCAACAAGTCTTTTAGATTTCTTGACTGCTGCTCCCAAGAATGGTGATTGTGAAACCAAGTAAAGTGAAATCATTGACAGCTTCATTTTTTTTAATCCATCTGACATGGTGTTGCTTATTGATGGAGGGCTGTGTAATTGCTTGATAAAGTGGTAACCAACTCTTAGGAATACATAAAGAATTATACATGAAATACAATGAACATCAGATATAGAGGCAGACAAGCAAGCTGACTAGATACCAATGGAAAAGAACATTACAGAGAAGAAGAAGAAAAAGGATATTTATGTTGTGGGTATTGTAATTAATGTTATGAAACAAAATATGTGTTTCATAAAAAAAAACCCCAAAACTAATTTGCTTTGTAGACTTTGACTCAACTCATAATTTTACAGAAAAGGTGAGTGGCCTTGGTGATAGGTGTTTTGGGATTCTGTCTTTGACAAGCCATATGGGTCTTGGGCTGGATAATGGCTCCAGACAAAGAGTTGGCCTGTGCCGAGAAGCCAGGTCAAACTTCTTTTCATGAGGAGACCCTGGTCCCGCTTTCAGGTATTCTGTTGGACCCCATGTGTGGACATGTTGGGGTCTTCTACTTCACATAAGTCTTTGGAGACCTCTTAGCTCTCATGGGAGGATGCTAGTCTAGTGCTTCCTGCCAGAGGAGCACAGATGTGCATGGCTCCGTGTTGGGAACTGAGCAGAAAGGACACCCTGCATATCACCAGACCAAGTGCTTAGCAAACTTAACCAGAGAATATTAATGGAAAATTCCCTTAAAGCAAAAAACAATCTAGCAGTTTTCCATCACATGCCAACTGCTCATGATTGACTGTTAATACCAGAGAACAGAGAGAAGACTTCTGAGGCAGTGCAAGGCTTGGTGAAGAAGAATACTTGATTGATCTGCCAGTGAGCCAGAAGGGGGATAGAGATGGTGTACCCAAATCAAAAAAGGTTGTTACTAAAGTATACCCTGAATATCCCCCAGCCAGGAAAGAGTTGGCCTGCTCTGCACTGCTGCAGCCCCACACGCAGCTGCATCGACCAACTTTTGTCATGTGGTTGGCCCTGTGGAACTTACTGCTGCATTTACTATACAAAATGATGCAGATTGTTTTTTCCATTATAATCTGATTGTCTCCTGACTTTCTTATATTATATTCTCTTCCATTTCAGAATTATTTTAAAAAAGAGTATGTTTATCCTAAGAAACTACTTTTGGTTTTATCTGATCGGCAGAGTCTCCTACAACTCAAGAGTCTGCAGACTTTCTGTAAAGGGCTAGATGGTATATACAGTTAAGTAGAGACAATCAATGCGATTAATTAGAGATAGTCAATACAGTAGGCTTAATGGGCCAAGCAGCCTCTGTCCCAGCTCCTCACCTCTACCTGTTAGCATGAAAGTACCATGCATGATACTTTGTGTTCCAGCAGATTTTACAAAAACAGGGGGTCAGCTAGAGGTCATACTTTTCCAACCCCTAGTGATGCTATTCTGTCTTTCTACTGATGCTAGCTTAGCCTTGAGTAGATCATTTGTTTGAACCTGGGAATGAGCTTTAAATTTTTACTTTTCTGATTTCACCCTCACCTTCCTACTTTCTTTTCTCCTTTGTCCCATTTTTGTCTCCTCAATTTTAACATAGTTTGCATTGTATAAGCTGCCTTCATTTTTTTTTTTTTGGTTCCTGAAATAAAAGGAGACATAAAAAACGGTCATAGTGTCTTATACTGAGGCTCCAAGTCAGACAGATGTCGCAACAAATACCATTGCAATGAAAAGTCCTAAGGCTAGCCAGGTGCACATGGTCTGAGCTATCTGGTGTCAAAATTAAACGCACCGCCATCAAGTCAGTTCTAACTCATACCAACCCTCCATCTAGTTTCCCAGGATTATAAATCTTTACAAGATGAGACTTCCCATCTTTCCCTCAAAGGTGACTTTGATCCACCTTTCAGCTAGTAGAGCAGCACTTAATGTGCTGTGCCACCAGAGCTCCTTGTATGTGATGTCTCAATTAATTCCCCTCACTGCAGTCAAGTTGAACCCACTAGCTGACCTGTCCCTGGGTTCTGGGGTTGTAAATTCATGAGAGAAGATTGCCTGTCTTTGAGCCACTCATGCATTCAAACTGTGAGAGAAGCATGGCTTTTGGGTTAGCATTGCAGTTCTTTATGGAGAGACCTCCCTGTATTTGTTGATGGTGGTGGCAGTGATGGTGTTAGGTGTCAACTATGACTTTTTGTGATTTTATGAAAAGATCTGAACCTTGGCCTACCCTGCACCATGTTCAAGGTCTCTACTGCACTCAAGCTCATTGTTACAGTCACTGTGTCCGTCTATCTTGTCAAGGTATCTAGTGAAGTCAAGTTAAAATAAGACATAAAGCTATATGGGATTACTTGGAGCTCACTGAGATCATATTTAAGCCTATGAGTTGATGCGGGAGAGTAAGAGATGGCAGCAGAGTTCTGTTCAGCAAGGGAGAAGAAAAGCAAATAAATAAAGTCGTAGTTGCAGACAGGATTGGAGTTGAATGTGGTAGGCTGATGTGGGCAGTCCCCTCTCCACAAAGACAGCAGTCTGGGAAGGAGACAGAGGCTGGTGATAAGAACTAACAGAGGTGCTCCCAGTCCATGGAAGTAATGAGTTTTTAAATTCATGTTTGTGCCAGAGTTTTACATCTAAGTAGTATATGTGCTAGGAGCCCAGGTGGTGCATTGGTTACATGTTGGCTTGTGATCTGAAAGATCAGTAGTTCGAATCCGTCTGCCACTTGGTGGGAGAGAGAGTAGTCTGCTTCCTTAAAGTTGCAGCCTCTGAAGCCCTATGAGGTAGTTGTAGCTGTATTCTGTTCAACAGGGTCACTATGAGTTGAAACTGACTTGATGGCAGAGGGTTTAGTTTAAGGGTTTGTTTTGGTTTGGGTTTTTTTACTTTGTTTCTAATATGTAGTATTAGTTAACGCTTGACATTTCCTTGATAATAACTTGCTTAAAGGGAATCCGGTCACAGGGTTGAATTACTTCTTTTACAAAATTCTTTAACAATTTAAACCTTTAGGGCATTGATTATTTTGTCTGATTTTTAATGGTCCCCACCACCACAGGCCTTCATCTCATTTAATGCATCTCCTGGAAAGGCCTGGACCTTCTCAGCAGAGCTGAGCATCATTCCATTTTTAGTCTCCCAGGTGCTTGGCAGTGTGATAAAGTAATTTTTTTCTCTCTCATTAGTATATTTAGTATATTGTGTGGCTTGCTGTGAGGGCTGAGGTAGTTCTGAGCAAAGGAGCTTTGATGGCCTAGTGATAAGGAACTGTGTTGCCAACCTAAAGACACATGGTTCAAATCCAGTAGCTGCTCCACAGGAGAAAGATGGGCAGTCTCTTTCTGTGTGAATCTGCTAGAAGGACAGCTATGGTTTGGTTTCAACTCGATGGTACATAACAATAACAACTGACTCTGAATGTTTTTTATTTTAGCTTTATTTGCAAGACTGCTTCATGGTTTTTCTGATTTTGAACTTTTCTAAGCCACAGTTAAATTTTATTCTAAACTTTATTTCCTTCAAGATGCTGGAGGAAGACATGGTTATATAATGAGGGTAGAAAATAAAGACCATTACCTTCTTCTCAAGGATCGCTGGGTGGTGTGACCAGTTAACATATGCAGCTGCTAACCAACGGCTGTCAGATCAAGGCCACCTAGAGGCACTTGGTATAAAAAAGGCCTGTGATCTCCTTCTGAAAAGTCAGCCATTGAAAACCTTAAGGAACACAGTTCTACACGCTTGGGTCCCATGAGTCAGATACGACTCCATGGTAACAGGTTTGGTGAGTTCCTCGGGAATCCAGAGGATCCACAGAAGTGAGTGTGTGCTGGTCAGCGAGAGGGAACGACAGAGCTGAGAGGGCAGGACTGAAGCAGGGGTTCTTGCTGCTCTGAGACTATGGACGATAGATAGCGAAATCATTCAGGACATCTGAGCTACACTACCAACTGAAGTGTGTCCATTCCCTGGGGAAAAAAGAAAGGAAAAACTTAGCTGAAGAAGTAGGGAAACACAGACAAGATGCAATAGGTCATTTCCTTATTTGTTTATGAAAGCAAAGTCTGAGCAAAGACTAAAGAGTTGCTTTCCAGTGTACACGGCTATAATTTGTTGTGGCACGCATGTTTTCACAACTAGCAGGATAATAGAGCACTGTATAAAAGGAGTCTG